GAGTGAAGACTTCATGTACTGTTTCAACATTGAAGCTTGTTTAGGCATCAAACAACCTTATCTCAATGACTTTAATTTTGTACAATATTTTGATGGTTGGATTGTCTATATCACTTTATATTGCTATTTTGGGTGATCCATAGTTAGTGTGTGGCCTGTATGTAATACATCAATTTAATGGGTTATTAATCTATTGACTGTTCACCCATGAACAATTGAATTTTGTTTTACTTAGAAATAGAGTAAGTAAATAAGAAAATTAAGTTTTGATTTACTAAATGTACCTTGTCGTAGCATTGGAACTCTCCAATCCCTGGAAACCTCCATGTTCCATTGCTTTCCGGATAAGATGGGTATCTGAGCTCCCCACAAGGACCCATCCCCACTTGGATTTCCTGAGACAGAAAATGAATTTGTATTTCTTAAAACTTTCGTGGTTGCTTGCATTGAGGAAAGACCAAAGAACATATCACTAAATATTGACATTAAACACTTTAAACGTGATTGTAGATGCTGGTAGTCCATAATTTGGATAGTTATAGGCTCTAATTGATTGATTATGTCATATAGGCTCTTTTATTTAATGTCTTTTATTAATTTTTTCTATCTTAGACCTTCTTTTATTCACTTTTAGCTCCTTCCCTGCACAACCTTAAGGAGAGACAAAAAATCTTGATTCTTGATATTTTGTGCATCAGCTTTCTAGTTGAGAACATGTGGAGTGGATTGTACATGATTTTCTTCATGAATGCATGATAATTTTTTTATTGGTTGCCTTTACAAGTGACCTATCGTCCATCGGAGTTATTAACTCAAGCTCTTTCCTTTCTCTTCTCTTTCTAGAGTTTTCCTATCTCACTTTTTGAGGCATGACTGAGTGTAGTAATATATTAACTTAGGGTAACAGTAGGTTCTGTTTCTATAGGGAGATAATCTAGGGAAGAGAATTCAAGATCTTTTCTTATCTCTTTCTTGACAAGCAAAATTTATTTACAATCTCCTACAATAGCATCATCACGTTACTTGAGTTTAAATGATGCTTACCACAATAACTCCACCCAAGTATTTTCTGAACCTGTTGTGGAAGCTCCTCATGTAATCAGTGTAAGCTTGAACTGGTGTTCTTCCTTTGAGCACAGGTATCATGTCACAACCCAAGGAGATATATTCAGGATTCCTTCGGCCTGATTTATCTGTGTAGACAAGATCAGGGTTCTTACTGATTTCTTCTAGTACCCATGGAGGTAGTGGAATGCTGAAAATTTAAAGGAAGGTTGAAAAATTTGTTGTTAGAAATTACAGAAAAAAATTTCATGTATTATAAGTTCTTAAGTAGTAACTGGAGAAGCAATTGACAAGTAGGAAGATTGTAGTAGTAATCTCATAGTTAGTTTAGTCAAATACCTGCAAGAGTCTCCGACATTCCCTCCACACTGATGGAAAGACATTACTACCTGGATCTTCAGACCATGCCTTTGCACCATCTCCACAAGCTCAGCATACCCTTCCCAGTTGTACTTCAAAGGTCCATCTTTCTCCACCAAGCCCCACCACACATCCACCATCACTCCTTCCACACCGGCGCTCTTTAAGGCCATCAAGCTGACATTCATTGCCCGTGGTTTATTCAAGTGGCCCCCTAGTGTTATTGTGTCAAGAGGCAACATCACAAACACAGGAACCTTGGAGTCATTTACAACATGGGCACTTGTTAGTCCATGGAGCTGAACCCTTCTCTTGGTGTTGCTTCCTTCTGTGCTGATGGTTTTTCCATGCGAGAGCTCTACCCGCAATGAGTTTTTTGCTTGTAAACGGCATGATGGCTTTATTTGTGCAAAGCAAATTGTGCCAGAGAAGTCATCAGGAGTTCTCAGGCTTTTGGGATCTTTTGGATTAATGAAAGAAGTTGAAAAATGTAGGGTTAGAACCATATTTCTCTTTGGGTTTTCTAGAAATGAAGAGAGGGGAGAGAGATGTGGGAAAAAGTGAAGATTGTTTGTGTTCATTTATAAAAAAGAAATTTGGATTCAAGTGTTTGAAGGAGACAACACTGGTGGGTTCTGGTTTAGAAGGGAAAAAGTGCAAAAGAATGGACATGTCAGCTCAAAATTTTCTAGGTCATATCCATAAAACGTGTTCACATTTTCCAATTGTTATAAAACTTGGTGGGCAAAAACAAAAAAAAAAAATCCTAAAAGTTTCAGCTTTTAATGGTTATCTGTCATTAATTGGCAGAATTTCCCTTGATTATTTTGTGTTGACTCTAAGGTACATGATTGATCATACAGTTTTTAGATTATAAACTGATTGTTCTTTTTCATGTCATCAAAGCTATTAGATGGGCAAAATAGATTGTTTAAAAGTTGAAATGTAAAGCCTATGTCCTTTTACACACAAAAATATAGAGTGAATATCTTGAAGTGTGATACTTTGAATGGCCACATTAATTTCAGCAATTATAGTAGAAAGGCATTTTTTTATTTTCATTTATATATACTGATGCAAGGGAACTCTCCTTCTCTATATTACTCAACTAAGTTTTAGTCCATGAATGAATCTATGCTTAAGTGTTATTCACTACCATTTGCAAAAGTTTAGGTGCTCATGATGTCTGCTTTATCATTTATTACTATAATGGTATCTCTTCAACTTAATTGATGTCTTTTATGTTATGTATGACTGGACATTATGTCCCTCATTGATTGTGCATTTCATTGCTTGCAAATCCAAATTATCTACGACTCTATAACTCACTTGGAACTCTGGAAGTGGATTTACAGACGTGAAGTTCTAGCCACTGCTGGTGTAAATGAGCTCTTTAGTTTCGGCTAATTTTGGTTGTAATTAAGGGGGTGTTTGTTTTGGCCCTTTAGTAGAAATAGCAATCAGCTGTTAGCTTTAATCAAACAGGTTAGATATTTTGAATTATAAATAATAACAATTATCAGTCATCAGATATCAACTATCAACTATTAGCTGTATTGAAAAAGCTAATCCAAACAGCCCTAAACCACACCTCTTAGCTTGGAAACAGATAGGGTGTTATTGTTTTGGCCACAATCTGGTGAACCCCACCAGTCAAGCTTCTATTTGGTTTTTGTTCTGTCCTGTACATGGAATTTTGGGGCTGACAAGTTACTAGAATTTCAAAATTTTTCCTTGGTATTGGCTGGTTTAAGATAAGAAAACTGGAGTTTCCTTCCAATTGGAAAGCTTGTGGTTATGATTAAGTCCGTGCGTCACTTTTGTAGACGTTTTGTGTCTGTATGCTTTGAACTATCCAAAGCTGAAGTGCTCCACTTATTTACAATTTGATGGATAATCACATGGTTAATCAGTTCTATCAAATTGATAACTTAGAAAATGTGGTGCATTTCCTACTGATAGAATCAAAGTCTTTGTTGTCATGCGGCAGCCTATCTGCCGCCTATCTGTTTTTTTCTCCTTCCATCTTATTGAAAATAATATGATGGATATCCTTAGACGTATCCCTGAAAGCAATTGCTCAGGATTATGGGGTGGATACTCTATTAAGGTGCATTAATTTATGCTTCTCTTTCCATGCTAAATTGCTAATACCTTAGTATTGCTAATGACCTGTTATTGCAATTAAGTAATACATCTATAAATAATGATTGCAACCTGGCTTCTGCAGTAATATTTTAGCTGTGTTCACAGAGTGGAAGACCTCTAATGGATGTTGAATGTAAGGCAAAGTTTTTATGTGTTTGACAACATATTCCATAGAGCAACTTAAATGAAATGATTCAATTGCAAACATTTGTAATACTCAGCTGTGTCCTTCCCCTTCTTAGCAGCTTCCGTGAAAAAGGGAACTCTTCTTCTCTGGGTTCTAACAAATCTAGGCAAGCATGGTGTGTCTATCTCTCTCTCGCTAATAAGTTTTAGTTAGATCATGTATTATGCATTGCCTGAGATAAGTGTGGAAACAATAATCTGCAAAAGAATGCTTGCAGTGAATTGTTGGTGGAAAAGAAGAAATATACAAGCTGGAGAGATAGAATTAAGGTGGTGGTTCCTTGTTTAGTGGAAAAGTAATGCCAAATATCCTTTGCGGCGTACCCCTTGATGTAGATCTCTTGGCCATTATTCAGTTGAGGTCTACAAAGCTTAGCTCTTGGCTGGCCAACCAATTCTCACTTATCATGCTCACCATGAGATTTTCTGTGGAGCAAATTACACCTTATCTCTTCATGTCCCTCTAGGAAAATAGTATGAATAATAATATTAATAATGAGAGAAAAAATGGGGAAGGGAGGCGGACTTATTCGTTTTAGAGTTGGAAGCTAGTGAGGGGCCATCATGGCCGGTGTAAGAAGGATTAGAAAAGAAAGGTACTCTGATTAGGTTGTAGTATGGGCCATGCTTTGAGGTGTTTTATGCTTTGCTATGTGAACATAACACTGACTGATGTTTGTTCATTAAGGGCTGTGCTTCTCTAACTCTCCTTTTCGTTCGGAATCTTAGGAATCAAAGGTGACCTATAGTTTTGAATTGATGACGGTTCATGTGCAGGTCCCATGTGACATGGCTGGGTTCCTTTTGAGAATCAAAGCTGTTGGGAAGACTTAGGTAACTTCTCTTCCTCATTGAGAAATTTGGACATAGATTATAGACAAAGAATGCAATAACCTCTTTCTTGATGATATTGTTCTCTTAATTTTGAAAAGATGGGGTAAAAAATTTCTTTCATCCGTCTCTGCGAAACATGTGTACATATGGTTCAGATTATCTGTGTCTCTCTATCAAACATGCGTATTTTTTAATTCAAAAAGGGAGAGTTAGGATCAACTCTTTTTTGGTAGATATTATTCTTGCCCTCCCTCTCAAGGAGCTTTATTTTCATTTAGAAAATGCTGATTTCCTTATCCTCTCTATGGATGGTAGTTGAGACAAAGCTTAAAAAAAAAAAGAAAAAAAAAAGAAAAAAGAGAGTAAAGTATCCCCATTTGTTTTCTGTATTCGCACTCTTAAATTGAAGGTGCTATTGTCCTCTAGTCTTAAATTCAAATGAGAAATGGTCCCAAAACTTTGTAGTTTCCTCCTTTTTCTCTAGCCTCTTTTTTTTTTTTTTTTTTTTGGATACCTAGAGATTAGAAATTAAATCCTAAACTTGTGGATAAGAGTACATATAACTCTACCCCGTGGACCACATGACTAATGGTTCCTTTTTCTCTAGCTTATGTCGTTTTCCAATTTCTGAAAGGCATCCATTTCAATCCTCACAAATGCCCCTCAACGTGAACTTCCTCTACCTGGGATGGCAGATGCAGTCAATTAATGGAAATTGTAAAGCACATGTTTTCCTTGCTAAACTTACATAAGGAAAGTAGGTATATAATCTGAAGCCAACTTCTCTAATACTACTTTGCTAATATCTTATCTTGCTTTATGAATGTCTTCTCCTGTTATATGTGAATTTGCAAATTGCAATATATAGCTGTAAAGACCGTATGATCTAGTTACAAATTGTAGCAACAGATCTTTTTCTTTGGAAATATCTTTGAACCTTGGGAAGATATTTGTCAAACAAACGTGGTGATGGTTGATGTAAACAACCTTCCTCTCCATGGAGGTTTCTGACGATCTTTCTGATACAGAATTTTTCTTACAAAGATCTCTGTACCTGTCCTTTTCATTCCGCAAAGATCTCAACTAAGTTCCAACCAACTTGATTTTTTCCATTATTTTCCCCTAAAGAAAAAAGGGATGCGTGGGGGGAAAATATCTATTTTAATAAATTGTGCAAAATCTGCAGTAAAAAACATTGAATTTTTTTTTTTTTAAAATTGAACCCCCCCCCCCTCTTCAAGTTCTCACCTATGAACTTTTATGAAGCATGGAAGCTAATGCATCATACTATAAAAGCAAAGGGAACTTACATAAGCAGTGTTTTCAGTGTTTCTCTAGTTTTTATATGATCAGAATCAGTCAACATGCCTTAATAAACAAGATAGTAGGGTTATAAATGTAGTCATACTGTAATTGATTGATATGTTTCCATCTTTATATTGCATCTGGAGTGCGCCTATTTCCACAGCAGCTTTTGTGTTTGAGACAGCTTCTATGGAAATAGCCCTATCCTCTGGATATGCTGCTCGGTTTTTCTGAGAATGCCTGAAATTCAAGACACTGCTATGGGAAACACAGAGCCAATTCTGTCTCCAAAGCGGTAGCACTTGATGTTAACAGGGTATGAGCCCAGCTGAATATGGTTATCCTCTCTGCCTGTAAAGAAACAAAGAGTATAGAGAGCAATTTCGAACTCTGGGCTTACTCCGATCAAAGTGCTTGATACAGATTTCAGAACGCCATTCCATTCAAACTGAATTGTAAGCAATTGTGATTCAGAATCTGGCTGCAAGCGGAGGAAAAACTTTCGGTCAAGCTCAATAAAATACATTTATGATCTAAGTGATGAGGAAAAATTTAAACTTGCAGTCGAAAAGTAAAGCAAATGCACCCCATATATGATACTGTGATCACTTAGTCAATAGCGGCGTATTGTGGTACAGCATCAACAGGGAAGGAGCTACTGGTTCCTTTTCAAGGTAATGCTTAAAAATTTCAAAAATTATGTACTAAAAGAATTGTCTGTGCTCCTAATGGTCAGCATATCTATAGATCTATTAAGGCAGTGCAAATGGTTCTAATGAACTCGAGATTTCTTTCAATGTTCTGTCATCAAATTAAATGCAAGTATCAATTCCCTTCAGAAAATGAGCTACAGCTGAACCCATTACGGTTTGAAAAGAATGCTACTGAGTTATGAGTACTAAGTATAAAACAACGAGGATGAAGACACTTACAATCTCCCCATGTCTTCGGGGTAAGATAAAACCTTGATAATCAACTCTTCCTTTTGCCTCTTCTAGGTAAAACTGGCAAACCAAAACATGATGTTAGTCATACACAAATGTAAACAAATAAAATGGTCATAACTTTAATGACAATCAACTTCATCCAAATTACTGAAATATGTGCATAATTTCCCTATCCGCACTATTTTCTGAAAACTATACAATTTTGGAACAGATAAAGCCATGCAGACTAACAATCTAAAAAAAGTCCATGTGGACACAGTTTTCTTTCTGGAATTACCACTATAAATATGATAGATCAAGATATAGTGTAAAAGCATTCACCTGAAGCCAATTATGGAAGCCACAAACTTCTTGTTCATCACGCTGCTTGATTTCTCCAACAAAAACATGTTCAAAAGCCGAAGAGGAGCCAGATGTACCTCCTCGGTTGTGAAGATCAAACCATACCGTAGCCAACATGCTCTTAAAATCCTGATAGTTCTCAGATATAATACCCTTCAAAGATAGATACTTGTGAAGATATTTGATTGGAGCAGTTCTGCTGATTTCTTCTATGAAAGCAGTCTGCTCTTGTCTCTCTTCAGATGAAATGACTTCTTTGTGCCCTACATCCGGATTGTAATTATCTAAGAGAGAACAGAAACGTGAAAATGTGGGTCTCCTAAAAATGTCCTCATTGAGCCAGGAAAATAGGCTTCCTTCTGCCATATCTTCTTTCTGGTAAACCTTCTTCCCTTCACCCACATCAATTTGATAATCCTTTCCAGGAACCAGACGGTTTAAATCGAGTTCCCAGAGCCTGTTACAAGCTTGGGACAAGTCAGCAAGTTCCTCTTCTGAAGGCTTTAAGTTCGTACCAACTTCAACCTCATTGCAATATTCTTGCTCACTAGGAGGTCGCTTGTATCCTTGCCAGTGATCCATCTGAACCTGTCAATATGTCATTTGAAAAATATAACAAGAACAGTAATAGTGATGATAGCAACAAAAGCCTACAGCCACATACTTCAAAGATTTTGACACAGTTTTAATATACAGAAAGCAGAGTTATCCCCTGTGCAATGGAACTATGAATGATCAAAGAAAACACCAACATATCTATCACAAACTAGGGATCTAATAATAGAAGTCTCAGAGAAATGGCACAAGTTGGTTACCATGCAATTCTATTCACATTACACACCTATCCGACCATCTCCAATCCAGTTTCCTAACATTGGTAAACTAAAACTATGAGATCATAAGAATTTATTGCTGGGAAAAATCCTAACACTACCAGCTTATGTGATATTACATGCACATGCACAAGCACAGAGAAAAAAATTCACAGTAGAAGTGCAGTTTGTTAAGAGATTAAAATGTAAAGCTATAACAACGATCTGAGGAAAAGACAAGTAGGGATTGTCACTATGCCATTCTTAAATACAAACCAAAACAAAAATAGAGACTTAGAGAATTAAAAAACCTTGTGTGGTCGCCTTTGAGGCCGTTTACCAACAGTCTCCCAGCCATCATTTTTGTTCTTTTCTTCCTCCTGAATGCAAAGCCAAAACAACCCTCAAGATTAATTTGAGCACTCAGAGACGGGCTTGAGGAATCTCATGGTGAAACTCAATGAAACTAACCCTTCTGTTCCAGTTATTTTGGTTATAATCATGTTGCTCAACAACTTCAGACCTTTCATATCCTTCATGCCCGGCCTGCGTTCAGAGATTGATCAGAATGTAGTTATTGACAATTACAGGGACATTTTATGGCCACTACTATAAATATAAAAAGATCACTTGTCTGCAGCCAACTTACAATAAAAATGCATAAAAGTGAAACCCTGATTACTTCATCATATTAAATTAAACTATTCATTTCACCATCAAATTCATTATAAGAAGGATTTTTCTCCTTTTCTATTTCATGGCTAATAACTGCCTTTCGTAAGGTATCACTGTGTGGCTAATCACAACAAGATGACATTTCATCAATTTGTTGGGTGGGAAAAATAAAGAATTTTTCACAATCATATACAAATATACATGGAAGAGGGTAACGATCAGATTTCAAGTCCCATGGTCTACTGTTACTTTACTCCTATCAACTAAAACCTTTAGGCAATGTGCCAGGGGGAGTTAGCATCCTCTGTATGATCTAGAACCATTTACATATCTTCTATAATCTATACAACACGAAGATGATTTGCTTTTCAAGGACATTGCTAAATGCTTCCAACTCAAATACTCAATTGTGAATTTTAACTCCATAGTATATGTATCTTTCTCAATCTAAAATCTATGAAATAAAATAAATAACCGAGAAAGCGAGATTCACCATATGCGATGGCCTGGAAGGTCTTGAGTTCGGGGCCTCCCACTCGTCGTTGCGGATTTGACTGTCCTCCTACAAAAATCAGTCGCATTCATTTCAAACAACCATTCCACTTCCATCATGAATCTCGATCCAAGATCATAAACATGAGTATTAGAAAACCCAAAAAAAAAAAAAAGTAGCGAGACCTCTCTTCTTGACCGATTTGGACGATGCCTATCCGCACGATCACCGTTATCCTGCTCTCCGGCCGCCACCTGCGAACTCAAAATCAACCAATCAGCGAATTTGAACCACAAACTTGGAATTGGCAATCGCATCCAATCACAGATCAGATGACGAGATCTGAAATAACCTCAGCCCACGTAGCTCTGGAGCGTTCGTCACGGGACTCATCATCTCCGTCGCGGCGGTCGCCTACGACGCCGAGCGCAATGTCGACCAAACCTTTGATCAAACCATCCATGAATTTTTACTCAATGATTGCAAGGTGAAGAGGGTGTGGATTTCAGTGGAGTAGTGAGTCTCTCATGTGATAATTTTTATCCTTTTTCCTTTATGGTAGTTGAATTAATTATTGAGGAAATGGCGGGTAACGGTTGACTTTATAGTTAACCGACAAAATCCAACAAATCAGTTATTGACACGTGTTGATTAAATAAGGCAGCGACGAGACCACCAATGGAGATACACAAATTTACCGACAAGACCCAACTAATCAGATACTGACACGTTGCTCACCGTTTTTGGCTAGTGAGGCGAATGAGGAATGACACTCTCGTTTCTTGGTTTTTTAAACATGTATACGGTAATACTGTTTATTCGTTTTATTTTTAAAAATTTAAGGAAAATATAATTTTAATAAATATTTATTAAAAAAATTAAAATATTATAATAATAAAAAAAAAAAAATGATGATGTTTGTCGTCTTTTTTTCTTAATTTTCTTGAAATAAAGTGAATAAACATTAACTCTTATGTATATTTAATGTATAATTATTATATTTTTATATTAATTAAAATTTAAAAATATAAAATTAACATTAATTTTATTATTAGTATCATAAAAATTGTTTTAAATTAGATAATTAATTAGATGAAATTAGTCTTTATTTGTTAAATTCATAAAAAAATTAAGTAAAAAGATACTTAAAATTATCTATTTTAATAAAGTAATATGAAAAAAAAATTAACAAGCCTTATTCCTAATTAAAAACTTAAATATTTTATTCCTTTTCAATTCTTATTTATTATAAATTAAAATAATTTAATTTTAAAATATTTTAAAAACATTTCCCCCTAATTAGATAAAAGTAAACTTTTGCTTTTAAATTTTTTTATGAAAATGTTTACGGAATAAATATTAATTAATGGAAAAAAAATACAATAAAACTCGTGTTCTTACAGAAGGGAAAAAAAAAAAAAAACTTTTTCTCGCGTTAATTTCATCCTATTCCTGTCCTATGAAAACAGCTCCGCAAGTCTGAACAAAGGACTAACAAGATGCGGACTTGCATTGTTAAGGTTTTTTTTCCCAGACGAAGAAAACTGGGACATGTTTGGTACACAAATGTCCCCAAATAGTTTTTTTTTTCTTTTCTAAAAGTCGTGCTATAAATTTATATATTTCGACTTAGGATTTTAGGAATATAGGCACAAAAACAATAATAATTATGACAGATTATAAATTGATTATAACTGATGATTTTGAAAAAAATATATAATCATTTTTTAATAATTAATTACTTTACTTTCAAAACATATTTTACTATATTTTTTATAAAGAAATATATATATTTAACTCTTTTAACCAATATAAAGCAATATACGAGATTACTTTTATTTATTCCTTCAATATTTATTTCCAAAATGACGCCGCTTCTAAACAAAAATATTTCAAGACATGTATTTACCAGACAGCCCTTAGTGCCCTCTAATGTATTTTCTTTTTCTAGGAAGATAAATCATAAACGAAAAAAATGTGTTTTACAGTTTTAGTTTTAACTGTCTGATGGAAATTGAACTCTTTGATATTAAGGGCCTCCTCCCATTTGATAGTTTCTGCTTTACTGTCCAAATCAGAACAACATTCTCAATCATAAAAGGATATCTAGATTTTTTTAATCCTCCCCTAGCACTTACAAAACGTCATATCTACAAAAAACTACCGAGCAAGTACACACAGAAAAGGCCATAAATGTTCAATGGAACTGTTCTGATGATGATGATTCAGGAGGCCGGAAATTATCACAAACTCTCATTGGTTTCCAGTCAGTTTCTTCTTTTTTATGCCTAAGAGCAACAAAATGAAGAGCCTGACTCCCTATTTGGTACACATGGCAGCCCCATGGATATGAATCAGGTGCAGACCAAACCTTTTGTTCTTCAAACAGAGTCTCCTCAGCAAGAGTTTCTGCCACGCAGTATACCAAGCTCAGGTCTGGCTCCGTGAAACTGTCCACAGCAACAAATCCAAGAGCAATGAATCCCTCTGGGGCACGTGGACACCATATTGATACTGGAGCTGTGTAGTCATCTAAGCAGTTTCTCCATACCTGCAGGCAGAATTTTGACAGTTCAAATTTCATTTTACATAATTTGCATTAGCATTACCGTGGGCCATCAATTCAGTATTTCTTACCAGGTCATATCCCACGGGTCGTGTAAACAATTTGTCAATGTTTCGGTAAACAGCAGCAACATTTGGAGGATGGCTGCCAACATGAGCTATATCGCCAATGGAGACATACCTGAAGGAATGAAGCAAATTTTTTCAATATGGAAACAGCATTAAGTGACATGAGATAGTTAACGATGTGCATGAAGATGCTGAGTACCAATGAGAAAGACATGTCAAAACAAGACTAATATTTAAAAATATTTGTTTCTTTGACAAATTTGGAAACATGACCAATAGCATAACATATCAGATAATAATTGTTACACTCTTCCATGCTAATATTAGGAAGTTAAGGAGTTGGAGACGCTTACTAGAGGAAGATGAGAAGAAAATGCAATTTCTGATAGATATGAGATCATAAAAAGAGCTTTAAAATCATTACCCGTCAGGACAGGTAGGTCTCCAAATGCTACACATTCCACTATCTTCAGATACCTAAAAGGCAAAACCATCATTCATACTATGATTGCAGCAAGCAGGGATGCATGGCTTTTATATACTTATAAAACACTATGGCTAAAATAAAGCATGGTAAAGAGTGGAGCACCTGTTTTCTACACAATGAACACAGACTTTTTAATTGTCGCTCACTGGTCCAGATTTTTAGAAAGTTCATACTGTGTTCAACAAATTTCCTTCCTTCAGATGAAGAACTGGATGAAGAGAGCTCACTTGACTTAATGATGGCTTTGTTAGGAGGACGTGATTCTTTCTGGCTTGAAGGAACCTGAGAATTGATAATGTGTTCAGAATATGTACTCACTATCTTATAAGAAATACATATTTAAGCACAGCAACAACCTTTAGAACAGGATTTTTCAGGTTTGACTGATATGCTTTCCACATTTTACGCACAACAGAACAAATCTTCACAGCTTGGGGCTCCCTTCCCTCATCTTCTTCAACATTGCACTTAATGACCCGGACAAAATTTTCTGTTTTTTTAAAACTCTTGAGGTGCAGGATCAAGTGAGAAGGTAGCTGACAGCCAGCTTTTGCCAACTCCAGTGTCATAAGCTCTTCCCATGGAACGTCCCACATGATCTTAGAAGGTTTTTTATCCATCTTGTCTAGGGCAGAACACTGGAGAAAAGGAGAAAAGGCAGCATCAGGAAGACAACCTTTCAGAACTAAGTAAAAAACAATTCATCATGGATGTCTGGTGCACTAACCTGCAGCAACATTACTCGCTTATTGGTTACTAACACAATTCTTTGGTATGGTACAAGAAAATGATCTTCATAATAATCAGACCAAGCAAATTTTGAGGGCTCTTTGAATATTTCAGTGCAACCAAAATGCTGACTTGCTTCTGCTAGATGGAGCACCATCTGGAAAGAATATGAAGGAAAACAAATCATAAGTCTTTGAGGTAAGAGAAAATTGAAGAACTAACAGATATTTCCAAAAGGCAACAGTTTTTCAAACAAGTAATAGATATAAGTTAATCTGCGGTGATGGAAGCAAGTTATTATTGGTGAATGCTACACTCAGCCAGTGAATGACAGAAAATTAATAACCAACCACCTAACTCAATGGGTCCAGAATTTCAACAAAGATGAAAGAAGGAAGAAACCCAAAACTTGATTATTTCTAGAAGTTCCATGCTTTGTTGGTCAAGGTTTCATGCTTTTTTGGGCAAGTTTTCATGCTTATTTGATGTTAGGTCAATTTTGAAACATTTATGTATATTCACATAAGCATGGCCAAAAAAGAGATGTATTTGTGCTTGCATGAAAGAAAACATTTAGGACTTAGCTACCAAAAACAAAAACTCTGCTTCAATCTCAAAACAGAAAATACCTCTTTTTCTTATGGATATGGAGAAGTCATTACCTGGCCAATGGCTTCTTTCTCAGAATACTCACGAAGAACACCGTCAGAATGAATAGCCCGAGGGTTTCTGACTCTGTTGAAAGTGGTTTTATTACTCAAAACCTCTAAACATCTTGAACAACTAGCACCAATTCCATCGACTGTGAGTGAGAAAAAATCCAGTGCTCCACTCACGGGTTGAACAATAATCCCCAGAAAAGCACGCCCGAGACCATGGGCAAGTCCTAAGATACCATTCTGTCTGGCACTTTCCACAGGTTTTGTCACAACTCCAGAGACTCCAAAAGCAACACCTTGTGCAAGAGCTTCAGTTCCTTGAATAATCCCATCACCAACACCCGTTATTCTCCTCGACCATACCTGAACAATGCATTAGAATCTAGTTCTCCAGTTAATTCTATAGGCTGAAGCCATCACGTAAAAATGAAAAATTACAAGTTTACCTGCTTTGAACGTAGTTGCAGAAACTGTCCATCAGTTGAAAGCTCAGCAAATCCTTTACTCAGAGAAGCCAATGTTGAACTAGTCATTCCAAGTACATCTACTGAAAATATCAAATGCAAAGGGTTATGGATTAAATCTCTCCAAATACGGTTTCCAATTGCAGGAAGAATAGAACTTTTCCGCATGAATCTGTCTTCGTGCATCACCCTCCTTAGATGAACCTAAAATCAAGGATTGAAATATGAAAAGCCTGTTACCAACAAAAGAGAGACACTAAACTTATAGAAACTTTAACCAAGAAAAAAAAAAACTGATAGAAACTGTCTTGTCAATCTTCCCAATGAGAAGAATAGAATATCTTCAGTAATCTGAAAACCCTCAAAAGTTATGATTTTATTCTCACAAAGTAGCATAAATTTTTTGAGGTTTACTGGAAAACAGGGACATGATGCAGACAGTACATTCAGTTGACTCAATGACTTTTTCAAGCTCCATAGATGATGCAGGAAGCAAGTATTTTGGAATACATTTGATTGTCATAACAAACTGGATCAGTTTTTCACTTTTTCATTGAAGATCAGGGAATGTTTTGGTATTGGATAGCAGGAAGAATTGTGACAGGAACACTACCCCCAATCAAATAGCAAACTGACCTGAATTTTAAATGCATTACCAATGGCAGACAGTATAGGACTCCATACACCAAGAACCCCATGAGGTCTTTCTGCTGGTGCTGTCTGCAAAGATATCTTCAACCTTACTTCTGAAACATCTATCAGGCTGGACAAAGAATCAGAAGAACAAGATTGTTAAATCTCTGGTTCAAATCCCCAAATGCTACTTCAAACTAAGAATTTACATATTTGATAAAGAAGGTAAATCCCCTTCACTAGCAAGATGCACAAATGGAAAACATGCAAGAGTCTAAACTAGCATCTTAACACAATATAAATTAGTTGACATAATAGCTTTCTAGCAGCCTAGTAGATCCAAATGCAGCAGCACCACCAATGACAGTCTCATAATTTTCACTGGCCTAGGGTTTTGTTTGGTTTGGCTTTTTCAAACAGCTTATAGCCAATAGACAATATTTAACTATTGATAGTGTTCGAATTATAACAATAACAAATATAAACCATCAGATATCCACTATCAGCTATGGGCTGTTTAAAATAACCAAACCAAAGAGAGCCTCAAAAGTAATGTCACTCAACTGGGCCCAATTTGAGTTTTTTTTTTTTTTTTTTTTTTTTTTATTTCACTTTTTCTTTTCCCTGAGTGAGAAGAACGATTACTGGAAACCTAGTCCAAGCCAACCAAAGTACTTTCCTATGCATCAAAAAATTTGAATATCCTGCACAGTTGCTGAAATCTATTAACACCATATCATTCAAGATACAAATATGAAAAATGTCTTACTCAACACGTATCTCTGGATCAACTTGAGTGCTGCTTGAGCTTTGAGGTATGCGATGCAGCTGAAGATTGTTATAGAAATTCACAGATGCCCAGATGATTGGTTCATGTATATTAAGCCTCCAACATTTGTCAGTTACCTATCTTGTCAACAAAAACAGCATGCATCAATATGATATCATGCAGGCATCATGGTCAAGTACAACCAATTCAACGTAAATGTAAGAGTTTACCCGTATATATACATATGGATAGACCTGGATGCCATCAGTGTTCTCATTGCGCATTGTAACAGTCATCTTAAAGACAGGATGATGTATGTCACTGGCTTGTTCAGGGGCCAAAAGCACTGGCATTAAAGTTAGAGGAAGCTGGTTATCTATCTGAAGGTGACCCAATATGAGCTTGAACCTGACACCAAGTAAGATAAATTGATATGATAGCATAGAATACTTGAATCTAATATAAGATTGTACAGAAGGAAGTAGAGAATATCAGAATAATCTAGCAGAGCTGGAAAATCTTTTAGAAGGAACTGGAGATAACAGACAAGATTCTGAGTTGGTCCAACCTGCTTGTCACTCCACCTTCATAGCCGGTAGAGTATGCAACAGAGACACTCTCCAGATACAAGTAACAGAGCTCCTTTGGTCTATGATCCACAACAGATACCCCAACAACTCCCAACTCAATGATGATTTCTATTGGTGTGGTACTGGCCTGCAGCTTTCCAGTAGATGTCACAGAACTTATTTCTTCATGTGAACTTAACCCCAATGTGCCATCACCTGTGAATCTAGCAACAACAATATCTCCCATTTCAATAACATGGAAGTGCATTCCAGATTCCCCCACTGCAGAACACAGTCCAGCCTTTTTGAAATCAATTTGCTGGACTCCAATATCAGAATCGACATCAATTTTAGCATCAATAACTTTTTGTCCATATGGGTCTTCCCAAGAAAAATTTGTTGTTGAAAGAGGCTGTAGCTGTGTCCAAGCATATTCAGAAAACCCAGATTGGCAAATGCAGATAGTTTTGTTGGTTCTGTTCTCAATCCTGTTTATACAAGCTTTGACAAGTTAATCAACTTTGCCAAACACTCTACTTCACCCCCATAGAACACATTTGTGCATCCAAAGATATATAGTTTTTATATTTAATATATATGAAGCAATGTATAAGGTACCTGATAGGACCATTACTTGATCCAAGACGGAATACAACTATAAATCGTGATCCTTCTTCATAACCACGCACTTCTGTTCTCAGAAAGGTCCTTGTTCCATTATATCTCCTCAAAACCAAAAAGAATGTATCCTCCTTCACTATTTGAACAGGAAAAGACCATTCTGTATCCTCCAGTCGCACCTAAAAGTTTCAACTAGTTTAACTCCAATGAAAACATAATTTTGATGCACATATTAACATAAAGAAATAATAAAGATAAAACAATGGGATAAATAATTTGAAAATTTTTTATTGACCAAATTGTAGACTATTGTTGGAAGAAAAACACAAAAATGACACCTTAGGTCCCCTTCAGTAACATCCACATTCATTGCATATTCTTGAAATACAGTCATGAGACAAAAAATTCATCAATATAAGTGATATTTTAAGCAAGTTCAAAGGCATACAAAAAGATTATTCCACCAAAAAGGTGAGGTAAAGTAGCAAAATATAAATATTAAGTTCTATGAAATTCACAGACCTGGATTTTATCTATTTCACCCATTTCAACATGTACAAATGAGACCCTTGAATCAGATACATGGAGAACCTTTCCCTCATCTTCGCTGTTAAATTTAATATGTAAGTCTTGACCAAGTCTGTTTGTGAATGTCATGTATGGTCGCACCATAATAACCTAAAGGGAAGACAAAAAGTCAAATGCATTGTGGCTCCTTTTTTCTGTATAATACTGCATGGGTTGGTAAGCAAATGTATGCACAAAAGTTTTTGTTCGTGCATAGATTACTAGGTAATATTGCTACCTTTGTAGGTATAGACTGATAAGGGCAAGGTTTTGTGGAAATAAAAAGACGCAAGTATTTGCCATCTCCAACATTAGCATACAAATCCTGTGATCCATCCTGTTCAACAGAATGCCAAAAGGGGAAAGGAAAGATTCTAATAAGAAAATTCTTTTTCAAAAATGAAGACTACAGATAGAAGTGACATCAGATGTACCATGTTGCCCAGGGGAGAAAGATCCTTAACAGGTCCAAAGCACTCATTTCCAGATTCTGTAATTGATGCAGAGAGGCCCAGAAATTTGAAGTTCAGAACCGAGACAATTGTATGACCTTCAGATATTTCCTCGTAAGCTATTTCCTCAAGGATTTCTACACTGTCTTTTTTAGAATGAAAAGGAAAACTGATTTTCCTTGGGTGCTTTTTCCCTGCCATTTTTAGAAGCCTAAATGAAAGAGGGGGGCATCTGGCAACTGAAAACCAATAAGGAGCATACAGTCTTATGATTTTAGCCAGTGTTGGTTGTTCTTTGTCAAAATTTTGCTCGAGAATAAGTTGAACAATCCTGCATATTCCATTAATTTGATGGATACCAGAATGTTGGCAAGAAGAATTCAACATCTTGAAGAAATTCATCAAGTAAAAGAGGAGGGGCAGCATATACTAACCTTCCAGAAATCGGACTTCTGAAGCTTATTTTTTTTGCTGGAACTTGATGGGGATGGGAGATGAGAACAGCTTCCTGCAAATGAGTGAAAATAAAAGAATTTGAGTATGCATGCATATCCTTATGCATGTACTTAATGTACTTATGTACGTACGTATTTATTCATGTAGATACATGGATATGTATGGATGAGAGAGAAAATTGAATTAATACGGTTAGAGAACCCCCAAGTGATTTGTTTTGAAGTCTTACTTGTAGAGGTAGCCATCCCCGCCGTGGAAGCAGCGAGAAGAACAAAGGGTACCGTATGTCAGCATTGTAGACCTTCACAGTTTTTCCAGGATGAAAGATTCCTCTGGTACAGGCAACAAAATGACCACTTTCTCGCATCTCAAGAACAGAATACTCAGCTGTAAGAGGAAGATAGTTGCTAAAAGATAATGGGGATTTGACTACAAGACTCCAGTCTTGAATAGGATCAGAATGAATGTCTTTTGAAATTTCCGTAGCTTGAATGCTTACACAAAACCACATTTTATGAGAAGAAGCACCAGAAGAGGATCCAGTTATTTGAGTGCAGCACAATAATTTATCAGACTCAGTGAGAGCTGACACACATATCTCAGATTTTCCCTTGGGTTCTCCAGAATCATCTAACTGATCACGCTCATCAACTACAGAACTCCAAGAATATTTATCAGGTCCATCAAGGCTTGGTCTCAACTGAAAAACATAGAAACCAGAGGGGGTCAAGCCTGATAGGGGAAGAGGCATTTTATCTCCTGGTTGCAATTGACCAATAAACAGCTCTTTGTTTGGATCAGATAATATCTGTTTCCTATTTCTGATCCATCTCCTCTGCCTCACACAGTTCACAAACCTTAGGTCGTCATGTGATTCCGGCCAATTTAAGCTTTTGACATCTGGAGCATAAACCCAACCATCAGCAGTTTTTACCGATGATGTATCCAAATGCCAATCATCCATCCATTCCCAACCCAGAGGTAATACAACTTCAGGTGTTGCCTATGTAATTGACAGGAAAAAAATAACAAGTCAAGACAAACAAAACTAGGTTTAATTTTAAACAAAAGCATATGTTATAATTGCAGCTAAAATGAAAATATAAGACGACCAACCATCAAAAGGTAAAATAAAAATATTTATGGCATGAACTGCTAAAGTTAGGTTGAAGTGACAAAGAGCACAAGTGAAATGGGTTCAAGAAGACATGTTCGTGTGTTATTTTGAACTAAATGAGAAAATAATATAACTTCAAAAAATTAATAAAGATAAAAGTAGATAAATTGTAAAATAAATAAGTGGCTAAGCATCCTAAAGGATCAATACATTCTGAAGTGGATCCATCAAATGAGAGATAAAAATTTGTAAGAAGCACTTGGGCAAAAGATAAAAGACAGGATGCTAATGATTCACATAAAGAGTAATCCAACCATTGATATCTAGGCTTTGTTTGAGAATGTTGAGAGCATTGAGCAATAGTAGTAGATTTTTTGGTCTTTGAATATCTCAAAAATATATTAAATATATTTAATAATTATTTTAATTAATGTTTATACATTTTTGAGATAGTTAAAAAACCAAAAAAAAAAAAAAAAGCCAAAGCACCACTCAACATTCCCAAACAAAGTGTGTGTGTAACCCATTGAACAAGATATTGAACAATAAAAAAATAAGGTCCTTTTTTTTTTCAATGGAATAGGTCCTATTTTTTGTTCCCTTGTCTGTGTGTGTATGTGAGTTCCTGACCTTTGATAATACCTGGAAATTTGGCTATTGAAACTTCATAATTTCACTAGGAAATGGTACAGAAACCATAAATGCCACTTCTATAATTATTGAACCACACTTACCAAAAAAAATTATTATTAAACTACTATCCAGTATCCAATAATGTTATGCAGATGATATCAAAAGACTTACATAAAAATAACACAAAAAGAAAAATTCAGTATGGTCAAGAATGGAAGTTGCCATAGTACGCTAAGATAGTCAGCACTATACTAAATAATGCAGAATAAGTAGGGTTTAGAATAATATGTAAAATTATTGTTTGTAGACTGAAAGAAAACTATCTTGTGTGGCCATGACTTGAAGAAGGTAACAGTGGGAAAACAACTATGCTGCACAGTATACAACTGCTGCTTAAGCTATAAAGCACAATAATATTAGCTACTACCTTATAGAGGTCTCCACCTTCTGAATGCTGTTGATTTGGTTGAGTTGAACAGCTAACCAAGCCAATAGTTGGGTTGTACTTTTGAGTTTCAAAGAATTCTTCTGTCTGAATTTTGTCTCCATCAACTAGTAAATCTTCAGGTCTACTAGCATCACTCGATGTACTAGTGATCTGACTGGAAGCTTTGGATACAAGGCACAAATCCAGCACAAAATCTGTGGAGTTACATACTGAAACCAGAGACCTAATATTTACATATCTGTTTCCATCCTTTACACTTACTTCGCTAGCCACAATATCATTGCCAAATCTCCAACAAGCTGCTGTGGCAGCATAGTTTAGCCACACAGCAGTCCAAGGTCCCTCCTTGCTAGGACTAATCTGAATAAATCCAGATTCTTTACCTTCCTTAAAGATATCACTTCTTTCTTCAACTGCAGATTTGGGTGACAAGATTATAGCACATCTTAGTTTCCCACATGATGTCTCAGTCTCATCCGCTTGAGTTGTATTCTGGCAAAAAAAAAAAAATCCAAGGTAAGCACCAAAACCATCAACAATTTCTTGAGTTCTGTTTTGCCTTATAAAATTTAAAAAACATGAAGATGGCATTTACTACAGATGTCGATGAGGACAAGTCTATCCACATTAAGCTATTGACATGAGCATCTTGATTTGAACTACCAAGGATGTGCACTGCAATCTTACTCAAAGGAGATGAAAAATATCCAACAGCATCACCTGTGAAATCAATTGTGCCATTAGTACCAGAGAATATATTCCAACACAAGGTCATGGAATAATAGGCTAAGGGAAACCTGATCCATGAAATACTTCATATAAGAAGAATATCAGTCATTCTCAAAGCTGCAATTTTGGTGTCTTTACTCATTCACACAATGCAGATACAGCAATAAATTGCTGATTAAAAAGAAACAGCCATAAATCCTAAACATGAGGTAAATTAACCACCAACAACACAGACAAGAGTGGCATGCACATTTAAGTACCTTTTCCCATGTCAGTCACAACCAACTCCAGCAAGTAGTGGTCCTGTGCAAGTCGAGCATCATGGGAATATCATAGAACAATCAGAAACAAATGCACAAACAAAGAAAAGATAGCTCATCCACAAAAGCAGAAATTCCAACTCCAAAATATTCTAAACTTAATGAACAATGCAGAATCTAAGAAACTTGCAGGAGAAAAGACCTAAACTCATAAAATTCCAAGAATAAGTCAAGATATGTGATAGATCAAGTAAAAATGTATTTTACCATAGGAAAAAACATTGATAAATAAGAAATGAACACATTTATAAGATGGCAGCACATGGAGAATATGAAGACAGAAAAACTCCTAACAAATTTAAGGTGAAAAGGTATATCTCAAGCTGAAAGATACAGAACAAGGACCTGAGACCAAAAAGATCTAGATGAGTAGGCTTGACCACATAGAAATTATAGAATTTATAGACCTTGAGTAATTGGGAATTACCATTATTGAGCTCAACTGATTGTGATTTGACATAATTAGGACAATTCTAGTCTTGAAACAAAATGATACAAAGTGTATGAATGAAAAAACATTTAAAAAGATAAGTGTAATGGGTTTCATCAGCTTGCTTATTAGATGTCTATGACATCATATTAAAATGAAGCAAAATATTTAAAAATGTCAGTAGTCTAAAGAGTCCTGCATTCCCCATCTATTAATTTAGAGAGCTAACCTTATTGAGTTTGTTTAAGCTTAGCCATGCACTTCTTGTTTAATGATATATATATATACAACAATGACGCTCCATACATAACATCTCAACAGATAAAATAAAATAAAGAGTTCAGGCATCATACTTCACTCATACTTACTGGAGAATCAACTTTAAAGCAAAATATTTCACTCCAGTTGACCAATACAAAATCTGGCGATAAACAGCAATTTGAGGTACGACCACATGTCCGTGTGCTTTGTTGATGCAAAAGCAAATCATTAGGAAAGCTGTGATCAGGAGAGAGGTGAACAGTGACAGCATACTGAGGAGAAGTCAAACCTCCAACTCTTGGGATCTGCATACAAGTACATGCAAATAGGCAATCAAAGGAAGCAAAATCCTTCTCATGGGTATAGATAATAACACAGATAGTAACACAGAAGCAACCCTTTAATCCTGCAGACCTGTGCGTCCAGTATAACAACTGTCACCATTGTTCTAATTTTCCCACAAAATTTTCCTTTCAAATGGGAGTCCAACATATTCTTTGAAACAGGAACTTTTATAGGCTTTATATCCCCAGATGGCATCCTGATTATGTTTGATAGCCCTCTCATTTCCATAGCTCGAATGAAAATGTCCTGACCAAGTTTGTTTTGTGGGACTATATAATAACTCCTTTTGTGATGGACATCAGTAACAGATCTTGTGCCATGCATTGGAGCCAATGCTTCCTATATGATGTCATGCACAGAGAAAATGTTAGGAGATCTATACACAAAAGACAATTGCAAATTGAAAAAAGAAGAAACATGTATCAGGACAAACAGTGTGATCCTGACAATCAAAAGCAAGGAAAAAGCTTACCTGTCTCTTATAGTACTCATGCATGTGACTAAGATTGTTCCAGCTTTCATAAGCTTGAATAATCATATTAGCATTAGACACTGAGACATTCAAGCTAAGATCCCTAGTGGAGGTGAAACGTAATTGAGAATTTGCTCCAGGAGCATTGGAATCATATTGGTACCTAGAAGGAACCATAATTAGTAATTGATGAAACCAGAATAATCAATAAATTGAAAACCTAAAAAACAAGATAAAAGAACTACATAAGAAAATAAAAATAGATTGTAATATTTAAGAAACATTTCAGCTATAAGTCTAGAGAAATTCTGATTTGGACTGATAATGACTGTGCAACAGAGGCACCCTACTGCTGCTCATCTAGCCAAAGTATATTAATTAAGAATATCTAAAAAAATGGTTCTGCAAACCTTTAAAAATCTTCTTTAGCACTAGAATATGAAGCACGAAGACAAAGATTTCAGTGGATTCTAAGAAATTCCTAATTGCTTAGATAATCTATGATCTAGCAGCCAAAGAGAAGCTAATAGAAAGACAATTTGGTATTGGTCAGATTCATAAGATAATAATCACCTTAAAAAAGCATCCACTGGTTCAACAAGTGGCTCCCATGATTCATACTTATCATTATATGATCTAGCAGCCAAAGAGAAGCTAACAGTGGAATTCAAGCAGTCAGTTCTTCCATGCAGGCTGAACCCTACTCCACCCAAGGATATATTACACAATGGAACCATCTGTAACAAGCCCAAAGTTAAAATCATCTAAGGCATTTTAGAGAAAGTAATCCAAATTAATGGTCTGAGTATTTCAAACAATTCAAAAATCTGAAACTTTATGTTTATACATTTCAGAACAGATTTATAGACCAGAGAAAACATGGTTACATCTTAACTCTGGAAAAAATGGATGCTATTAAATCTTTGAAAAAATCAATGTCCAAGCCTCTAGAAATGACCCCAAATCAGAAATTTCTAAGCTGTTCTTAATCATCAACCTTTTTTTCAATTTCTTAATTCATATTATACAAACAAAAAGGTGTTTTGCCATACGAACTGCACCAGACTGAAAAATTTAATCCATTGTATAGGGCAGGCCCCCTGATATTGGGAGCTGTCCCCATCCCTCCAGTGGTTCCTGTTTTGTAGTCACAAATGAAAATATAGTTGGTACATGTTCTGAAGGATCCTAAAGGAATATCAGACCATACTCACCAGCCCATAATCATCAAAAAGAGATACAGAAAAGGTCCTAATTTTTGCATCAATGACAGTATCATCTGAACCACTCTGTAGATTTGTATCTGCCAGCTTTAAAGCAAACCTTCGTGGAGGTTTCTTAAAATGACTTCGGACGAAAAAAGTCCCCAACTCATTGCCAGTGGTCCATATGCTAAATGGTTCTGTGGCCTGCTTGGTATCAGATGAATCCCACACACTTTCGTCCAGAAACTGATCTCCAGTTACCATATCAGTGCGTATGCATCTTAATGCACTAAAATCTTGCTCCTTTGGTGAGCCCTTACATGCAATACAACCCAAGGAAACAAAACCCGGGGGGGCTTGAGGTAGCCAGAACGAAATATTATCCATTCCTCTCTGTTTCTTGATCTGTCCAACCAGCTGAAAATCTAAAGGAGCTCTGAAAAGCTCTTCATTGCCAGTATCATGAAGAACAATACACGTATTTGGGGCCTCATACCTGACTTTCAAAGAACCATCAGAATAAATCAATGTTATCAAGGAGGTCCAGCAAAAATTGACTGGTAAGTATCACATACCCATTAACAGCAATATCACCGAAATACACCATCCCCAGAGGAACCATCGGACGCCATACAGACAATTTTTTCCTTGAGCTTGTACCTCTATTGCACCATATCAATCTAAAACTAGCAACAGCTTCGAAACGCCGAGCAGAGTTCACAGCTAGAGAACCTTCCGACTGCAGGATATGACCATGACCAGGAGAAGCTCGAGAATTTAAGCGTCCAGATTGTTTTGGAGATACCTTAGAGAATCCAAACATTATATGACGCAATTCATAAGATCTTGCTAATGAGCTGAATGTTCTAGAATCTGATGGCAAGAAAGTGCCAAAAGAATTGTCGACACGCCAAAATGCTAAAGTTGATGGATATCTGCAGTTTTGACATTAAGTTAGAAAAGGAAAATGATGTCATTGGAAACATTCAAAAAGAGAATCTATGGCAGAATGAGAATGATAATCCACAAACTTGGCAGTTCCATTGATGGTAATGCAATCCCTGAGTGGACAAGTTGAAACATATCTAGCCAAGATGCAAAAAACAGCTGCTAATGGTGGTTGTTTTCTGCCTGGTGCAACCACACAGCCTAATGCAACATAACCTTCAGGTGCTTCAGGGAACCAAACAGAACAGCAACTTTCTCCCTCCATGGTAAAATGATTCGCTAACAAATTAGAATTAGTTTCACCTTGATAAGAAATGCCTTCAAAAGCTAAAGGTGGCCAAACCCGTTTGAAAGATATGGGTCTCTTGACTCTCACATGGTTGGTGTTTACAGCAAGAACCCCTTTGGTAGGTGGTTTGTCACTGTCAAGCAAAGACCAATAGTATCAGAGGATGATCAAGCTGAATAAAAGAAGACATGATTAAAATAGTCCACTGACAGTGGTGTTAGGCAGTCGCCAAGAATTGCAAAACCAGGTGGTGCACATGGTCTCCAAAAGGCATATGTCTGGTCGTCGTCAGGATCTGTGAAATATAGTATTATAGTAATATCAATAACTCAGTTGTGGAAATATTCAGATGAAAAAATGGTCATCCCATTGTGTGTGTGTGTGAGAGAGAGAGAGAGACTGAGGGAAGATAAGAAAGGTTGTGGAGTAGAGCCAATTATATCTTAGCGTACTTCTAATGGTTCCAATTCTGTCAAACCGAGAACAGACTACAGTGATTTCCTTTGATGTCGTCCTTAGAAAAGCCAAAATGTCCTCTTCAACTGCTAGAAACAATCTCAGTATGCTGAATGAAAAGTTCATAAAGATATCTGAGACAGATAAATGAATTTTGGTCTTTCCACAAGCATTTGAATAGTTAATGGATGTGTCAAAAGGCTCCAAAATTGTTATTCCATTACTCTCCATTGTCAAACCAAGAGCATTAGCAGTCATTTCAATGGTATCCCCCTTCAAAACAAGCCTGCATTATGATCAGAACATCAAATGTCAATGTTCCATGACAACTTTATAACTTCCTTATCATGTCCACATATTTTCTACCAATGAAAATTCTGTACAAAAGCAAACATATTTGAATGCAATTTGTTGCAATCAAAATAAAAAAACAATCTCACCTTCCAAAAGCATCCAATTGCGCATGCAAAAGTTTATTAGATAATATTGGTGATTCCCCTACATCTTTCAATGTATTGTAAAAGGTCAGCTCTGGGCCAATTGCCTGCAAAGGGACAATCATTCAGGAAAATATCAGGTATGAATATGTGAAAATTGTCACGTGAATTCAATACAAGACTTGCATCCAACCTAAATTAAATTAGCAATAGATGAAGTAGCCCTCCTTGAATTTAACTTACATGCTTCTTTATTATATCCCGATGTGGGATTTTCCCACTCAACACATTATTTATACTCTATTTGATTAGTAATAAGTGCAAGGTATAATAGAAATCATACAACACTAAGTATCAAATAAATATATAAACAAACAAAAATAAGGTGAGAAGTTTATTTGAATATATATATATATATATGAGATTAGTGTTTATTATATGTACTTGCAAAAAAATTTAGGCAAAAAAAAGTCAAAACTACATTGTTTCAATAAAGAACCATGAGTAAAGTCTATATCCATGTTTTAAAAACTAGAATGTTTTAGTCTTTTTCAATGAGAATTAATTAAAATAACATAGTTTTGAGGAATCTTTT